CCCACCCTTCACCTCTATATTCATCCATCCTGCATCTCTGAATCATATATGCATATGTCTAACCATGCATTAATCTATCTGCATTCACCAGTCTGTCTATTTTCCATCCCTGCATTCTCCAGGCATCCTCCTTTCCAGCCAACCAAGCATTCCGCCATCCATCTAGCCTGCATCCTAAATCATCTACGCATGTACATGCATCATTTCATGCATCCATCTATCCTGCATCTACCCACATATCCATTCTTCATCCCTGCATTATCCAGACATTCTTGCATCCATCAGTCCATCCAATCTAAACCTAGGACCTACTTCATGCAAGTACTGTGCCTAAGACTGGGGATAGAGCTCTAAACTAGGACAAAGTCCCTGCTTACAGAGCTTAGAGTGGAATACAGACAGACAGACCATCATAACATTGGATGCTTGGGTGCTCCTTCTCTCCTAGGAGGGAAAGACTTTGGAGCTGCCATTTATTTTCTCCTGGTGTTTTCATATGCCTGACAGGTCAAAACTTGGAATTTTCTAAAACTGTGTGGCCACTCTATTCTGGGAAAAGATCAGTGCTGGGAGGGGATCAGTGCAGCTTCACGACTAAAAAAGATTTCAGGAGTAAAATATACCATTGAATCAGATCCTGGTGCTTCCTCAGAGACGGGACACACATATTAACTGAGTCATGCTCACAACCTCTGCATAGAGCCCATTCTCTCACCTGCTGGGAGGACCCACCCCACCGAGGCAGGGTCCAGCTCCTACAGAAGAAGGAGATGATTTGCTGTTATGAAGCCTCAGCCATGGGCTCTCCTTTCTTGGTTTTCCACTCTTTCCCTAGATGACCTCATGCAGACCCAGGTCCTTCAGTGTAATCATTGGCTGGTGGCTCTGTCTAGCTCCAGACCAGACTTCGCTCAGTGACACTTGTATATCCAACTGTCTACTTGACATCTGCACTTGGAGGCCTCACAGGCAGCTTGACCTTAACACACCCAAAATGGAGCTGTTACCTTGTCCCCTAAATGCACCTTCCCTCTCCTTCTCCTATTCAGAAAATGCTGCCTTCATCCAACTCAAGTACCAGGAGTCACCTGGGACTCCTCACCTTCCCTCATTTTCCACTTCCAATTTCCCAGTAAGTCCTCTCTGTTCTTCCTCCCAAAGCATCTCAGATCTCCTGCCTCCACTTCTACCGCGCTAGTCCACACTGCCACCACCTCCAAGCCACAGCAGCACCCTAATGGCTTTCCCTGCTTCTGTCCTGTACTCCCCTGCAATCCTTCAGGGGTTCTCCTATCTTACTTAGAACCACCCCAGACACCTTCCCATAACCTATAAGGTGCTACAAGACTTAGCCCAGTGGTTCTCAAAGTGGATCATGGGAATCCATGATGTCAGACTATTTTCATAATAATACTAAATATTATTTGCCTTTTTTGCTTTCTCTCAAAGGCAGACTTTTTTAGAGCCTACATAACAAGGGATAATGTCATTCTGTTGGCTAATGAAATGAGTGCATCTATATTCTTGTGTTTTAAGTTTTTCTGAGTTTTAATTTCTTTTTTTAAAAAAATATGTTTTTATTGATTTTTAGAGAGAGAGGAAGGGAGAGGGAGAAGGGAGAGATAGAAACATCGATGAGAGAGAAACATCAACATCGATCAGCTGCCTCCTGCATGCCCCTCACTGGGGACCGAGCCCGCAACGCAGGCATGTGCCCTGACTGGGAATGGAACCAGTGACCTCCTGGTGCGTGGGTCAACGCTCAGCCACTGAGCAACACCGGCCGGGCTGAGTTTTCATTTCTAATATGGTAAATATCCATAGTTATAATGTTCACAAACAAAAGCTCCTTGGAGTTCTCAATAATTTTTGAGAGTATAAAGTGGTCCTGAGATTTTAAAAAAATTGAGAATCTCTGATTTTGCCCCTGCCTCCCTTTCCAACCTTATCTGCTGCCTTCTTTCCCTCATCCTCCAGGCTCTAGTCACCCCAGGCTCTAGTCTTGAACTTGCCTATGTCTTCTCTAGCTCTGAACATGCTCAGAGAGGCTTATCAAATCTGTTGCTGCCTCTCTGTTTTTATTCACTGCACCATCTTCATTTCCCCTGGAAAATGTACTATAATTTGTAAGAATTTTACTTGTTAATTCTCTGCCTCTCCACGAGCCTGTGTCCACCCAGGAATCTCTTCTGTCTTATTGACCACTGTGCCCAAACAAAGTGCCTGACATGTCACAGACACTGTATGGATACTTGTTGCATGAATAAATAGATAAGTTCAGGGAGGAGGGACGCATGAAGGAAGCTGTCCTGGCCACCCGAGCCTCTGGCAGAAGGCAGGCATCTTGCTGCTGAGGTCACATTACCTGCTGGGGCACCTTGAAGCGGACGTAGGAGCAGAGCTGGAGCATCTCACTCATCTCTTCTGGGGTGGACGGGATCAGGGGGATCTTCTCCATGGTGGCTGAGCCCTGCAGTTCTTTGAGCCGTTTTATGAATTGATTATCACTTGAGTACTTCAGGCCTGTGGGATTCAAACCAAAACAGCTTGGCAATTCATCTACCTTCTTACCAGCCCCCATTTTGTATAGGGAACTTCTAGTATTAGGCCAGGGCTAATATGTTTCAGGTGTTTTTCACCAGATCGTTTTTTATTTTATTAATTTATTTTTTTAATACTCACCCAAGGATATGTTTTTATTGATTTTAGAGAAAGGGATGGAGGGGGGGGGAGAGAGACAGAGAGAGATCGGTTGCTTCCTGTATGCACCCACAATGGGGATCAAACCCACAACATTTTGATGTAAGGGATGGTGCTCCAACCAACCCAGCCACCCAGCCAGGGCCAGATTCCTTTTTAATTGGTACTGCCATCCTTGCTCAAAGTCAAAACTGCACTCTGAAGAAAAACATAGAAAAAAATCCTTCGAGATAATTTAGGGATTGGTGACTCAAACTGTTGGTCCATGGACCAGCAGCACTGGGAGCCCATAAGAAATACAGAAGCTCAGCCCTTCCCTAAGTCTGCTCAATCAGAATCTGCACTTGAACAGTGGTCAGGAGATTTATCTATATGATAGATTTAAAAAGCATTAGTCTAGAAGACAACTCGCCTGAGCCCCTTTCACAACTGTGCTGTTGAGAGATCTCACAAAATGCATGATAGGAAGAAAACAGAGAATGGGAGGGACTGACTACCACTCCCCTTGGCCTGGACCCTCTTAGTAATCTCTAATTTGGGGTCAGTATGGTCACTATACAAATACAGTGAGAGCAAGTCCTATTCTGAGCCACGCTCCACATTGGGCCAGTGGCTGCCCTCTGCACAGAAGAGCACCAGGTGACTGCTGAGAATGAGAAGCTTTGAGATGGACCATTATTTCCTGCACCTTGGAGCATGACATGAGAGACTTTACACAGCTGATGTATATAGGAAGGAAAAACTAATTTTCACTTCCAACACTGAGCAAATCTCTAGGTGATTAACTTAGCTGAAGAACTAGATTTTAGAAAGAAAGGCAATGGCATCAACGCAAGGCTGCAGAAATCCACACTTTATAAACCTCCTATATTCAGTAACTCCTTTAAATCCACCATGGGCACCGTGTGATTTTCACAATGCCATGAGTACAGACTGCATGATCTATTTCCTTTCAGTTCAAAAATAATCCTAGACTAAATGTCATGTGGTATCTTTCATTGGATCCTGGAACAGAAAAAGGACATTAGTAGAAAAACTAGTGACATCCAAACAAAGCTTGGAGTTTAGTTAATAGTAATGCACCAATGTTGGTCTCTTAGTGGTAACAAATATACTTGTGGTAATGTGAGCTGTTAACAATGGGGGAAACTGCATGAAGGGTAGATGGAACTCTGTACTGTCTTTGCAACATTTCTGCAATCTTAAAATTCTTTCAAAGTAAAAAAAGTTCATCTTTCCATTTTCACATACAAACAATTTTAAATTTCCAATGGAAACTCAGGTGTAATACTCTTTGAGCAAATGAACATACACTCCAAAAAGCCAGTTAGATCTGACCTTTCATAAATGACTTAAAATCTAATAACATTCCATAGGGGCTGCTTCGCCAATCCTCAAACTTTATTTTTAAAAGACCAAATGATTTCAGACATGGTACTTGGGAAGAAAAGAAAAGAAACCCCATTGGGAGCTTGACTTCGATTTCAATGTCCTTAACAGACCTGGAACTATTTACTTTCAGAGTGACTGAAAGATTTCAAAGGTCAATTTAGTTATATTTTAGTAGAAGGTATACATGTTTGACTCAAGGTTGGGTTCTAGTGGATAAAGGAGGTAGTGGACATGAGTCACATACAGGAGGTAGTGAATACAAAAGAACTTCCAAAAAGCCACAGCTTATCTGGCCAGTGTGGCTCAGTAGTTGAGCATCGACCTAGGATCCAGGAGACCGAGGTTTGATTCCTGGTCAGGGCACATGCTGGGGTTGCGGGCTCGATCCCCAGTCGGGGGCATGCAGGAGGCAGCCAATCAATGACTCTCTCATCACTGATGTTTCTATCTCTCTCCTTTCTCTCTGAAATCAATAAAGATATATTAAGGGGAAAAAAAGATCTAGTAATGAATAAAGATCTCTGAGTTTTCAGCAAAAAAGAGGAGAGGTATAATAACAGTACCTTCACCTCATAAGGTTATGATGATGGTGAGAATTAACTCCATATAAAAAGCTTAGCTCAAAAGAACTCCACAAATATTGGATATTATAATTATATTTCAAAGTATTTATGTGCTGCAAAGTACTAAACACATTTTAATTAACCACAACATTTTTGTGGAACAAGGCTGGCTCTACAATTTAAAAGTCAGTGTGGTTAGGATTATAGCTAGACAACTAGTGTTTGGTTAGTTAATCACAAAAGTGTTGCATATCTCTGAAGGATGCACCAAAAGATGATTCTAAAAACCAATCGGAGCAGATACTGCCACTTGTTCCTTCAGAGATTCAGACCCTGCTGTGCTCCACTCGTTCATGGGGACATTTTAGCCTGCTAACTCACCAGCGGGGCAGACGAGAGACAGGCTGCCGACATCCGATGGGTAGTAAGCAGCGTACACCCCAGCTATGTTGCCACCCATGGAGGTACCTATCAGGTGGAACGGGTTTTTGTTCAGCTTGAGGCATTCCACAAACTGGGAAAGAAAATGAGAAGGGGGCTTGGTTATACAGCTGTAGACAGCGACAGTGGTGATGATAGAGCAAAAAACCTCTATTGCCTATGGGGACAAATGAAAAGGCCTATTAATGAAAGGGGGTCTCACCTCTACTGGATCCATTATCCAGATGAGCCCCGAGGCAGGCATGTAGTTACCGTTACCTGGCACAAGTGATTGAGGGGTCATTTCTGAGTACAAAACCAACAAAGATTCTCCTAATTCATGAGTCAGCAAACTTTTCTATAAAGGTCCTGAGAGTAAATAGTTTCTGTTTTGTGACTTCAGTCACAATTACTCAACTCTGCTGTTGCTGCACAAAAGCAACTAAGACAATATGTAAGTGAACGAGCATGGATTAGTTCCAATAGAACTTCACTTACAAAAATAGACAGCAGGCCAAATATAGCCCATGGGCCATGGTCTGCTGACTCTTGCCCTAATTTAAAGCCCCTCTCATCCATCCAACCATCCATTCATATAACTACCCACCCACCCATCTATCTATTCAACCATCCAACCATTCATCCAACCACCCATCCAACTAGCTATGCATCCAACCGGCCAACCACTGATGTTTTAGATAACTGTTTACTTAAAAAATATTAATTGGATATCTGTTATGGACAAGGAAGTATGGTAAACTGCAGAATACACAGGAAAGAGCCAAAGAGACAGGTTCCTGACCTCGTCAAAACACATAGTTTAAAGGTGGAGGCAGATGCACACTACGTAAATATCCTTGTCTGGGGAAAACACTAATGTCAACTTGAAACTGTGGACTGCTGAATTCTGAACTGGTCCACGAGCCCCATGACCTCGAAAGCCTAGCCAGAGGGGGGCTGAAGGTAGATGCCAAGAGAATAAAATACAAAGGGCACCCTCCCCGTTCTCCACAACTAGGCACTGTCCTGACACAGCTGGTAAGAGGAAAATTGGACTCCGGGCAAATAGTCTTGAGAAATACTAAACTCCTTTTTCAAAGAGCTGAGCAAATGCCCAGATCATCATATTTCTCCCCAAACAACTGCAACAAGCTTAGAGGAGAACAGTCCGCAATAAGCCCTGGGCCCCCACAGCGGACCAAGGATACCACTCGGGAGCCACTGCGTTTGCAATTACTTGACAGGATGCTCCTTGATCGGAGACTCCTTACGAGTCAGTATGGGACTCTCCTGCCTGCTCTCCAGGCTTGGGCATGCAATGATGGACAAGACCCACACACTGGACAATTTTCGGTGAGCCCCACTTACCTGGTGTATCCTCTTGACTTGCCCGTCTATGGAGAGGTCATCCAGGGAGGAGCGGGTGGTGCCCTCATGTCCTGGCATGTCCACACAGACCAAGTGCAGGTTCTTTGGAAGGAACTGAGGACATACAGGCCCAGAGAGTCAGTATGTGGTACGCAGAAAAGGCCAGCCCACTTTTCTGGGTAGGTTGTACCTACTTACCAGGTAACCTGGATAGCCAGCCCTGGGGATATATGGGCCTAGGCCACCCAGAGTTTTACCCTAGTAACATCTGATGGGAATAAGCATTGCCAGTGGCCTCACAGGGAGCAGAGGCCACCTCAAAGACTAATAAACACATAGATGGAAGGGGGCTAGGAGGAGCACTGGAAAAGAGACAAAGGTCCGGGCAGGCGTTCTGCATCTCTCACTTTTGACACCAGCTGACAGGTATACTTCCTCCTCCTCTCCCCCACCCCTTCCACACTTACCCCGTCATCCAGCCACTGACCTGGACACTAGAAGGGATGATTCTGTTCTGGAGCCCTGGCCAGCTCTGGAGCCCGCGGGAGCAAGGCTTTCTTTAAGAACCATGTCTGATCACCCTGATTCTGGTTTCAACTTTTTCTTTTTCTTTTTGGCATTAAGGTCTAATTCCTGAGGTGATTATTATCCTAATAATAATCCACTTTATTCCGTTTAAACATGTGCTGCTTTTCACCAGGACATGAGAAACATCAGTTATCAACAAATACCCAATTATATGAAAGATGCTTATTGGAAGTGGGGAGAGGAAGTGAGAGGGTCACTAAAGCATGAGGGTGACTGTCCTCATAGTGGAATCTGGAAATAAGAGCACAAGCAACTAGAGGGTGCGGGGGCCTCTTCCTCCTGCTGTCCATCACCCTTGAGATCACTCAGGAATGGTCCTGCTTGAGGTGGGAGCCTGGGGTGCTCCCCTCGCAGACCTCTCCCAGCCCCGGCATCCTCCAGCTGGCCATGCTCACCAAGTAGAGCAAGTTGCCACACCCGAGTAAACCAGCACAGAGAGCGAGCGATTTGGAAAACTATCCCAGAAAGGTGCCAGATCAAGACTGTTTTTCTAAATGGCTAAGAAAGAGAAGGGAGAAAAGCAAGAACAGAAAAAGGAGGGAAGGGGGCTTCAGAAAGAGAAAAAACGTGGAGTGTAAAAGAACCAATGATTTTTTTTGAAAGCCTGATCTTGACAATGAGAGTTCTGAGATGAAGCTGAGTGTCAGGAACCTTTCCTAAAAAATACTCATAAGGTGAAATGACTTCTAAGGCACAGATTTTACAAATAACATTCAACTCAAATTTTGTCTCATAAAACCAATATATTACACTGGTTTTATGATATTTGAGCCACAGTTCTGGGCTCCCTTTGCTTTCTACCATTGCTGAGGACAGTATGTCCAAGTGGAAACCCTTTACCACACCTTGACCAAGCTGAGCCACATGTCCTTGTGCGCGGAGAACCCGTGGAGCATGAGGAGGGAAGGTCTGTGCCCGGGCCTGCCGCGGAAGGAGTAGCAGAACTGATAGTCTTCATGCCGCACATAGCGGACCTGCATGCCCAGCGCCCGCCGCCAGTACCTGGGAAGGAAACACAGGCCAAGCCAAATCAGCAAGCTCCAGAGAAGTAGCTTTGGGAAGGGCACAGGTCCTCGCTACGGTCTCACTTCGAGGCAAGACCAACACTTGGCTCTCCTCCTCCGTGTAACTCTGGAGTCCCCCAGAGCTTCACCCTCAAGGAGCCCTATGGGAAAGAATTCCAAGAAAGCACCCTAAATGGATGTTGTGGTATGTGTGTGACCACATAATCCCTCTAAACCAGGAAGGGGATAACGGGTATTTTCTTAAGAAGCATGACACGAAATAACCTCTTATAATACATATTTCTAGCAGTGCAGAGCAGGAGTGGGCAGTGGGATCTCACTGGGTGTCTGACTAGCCCTCATTCTGCCTGGATCGCTTGAGCTTCTGCAGAATTTGAAATGGCTGGGGGTAAGGCTGGGAAGGACTCCGAAAGGCCAAGACCACCCTGGTTTCCTCTCTCAGAGAGTCAGCTTGCGGCCTGGTGGGCCATGTTCATCGACACCTGAAATCTGCGGTGAGCAGCCACGGACACGTGGGCACGACTGCGCTGTGTACAGCACCGACATCCTGGAGTAAGCACCTCCCTGCAGAGGCACTTCAATTGGCAGTAAAAGCATCAAAAGACTTAAAGGTAGCACCACTTGCAACTTGCTCTTCGTGGAGATGAAGAATTAGACTCTCATCAAGGCTGCAATTGCTGGTGGTGGTATCATTCCACACACTCACCAATCTCTGGGAAGAAAGGACACCAGAAGACTGTCCAAGGGATGCCTGCCTTTCTTATGATCTCAGGACTCTAAGTACCCTAACAGCTGTCCGATGTTAGTGATTCTAGTGGACTGGACCTCTGTAAAAAACACAAACTTACTTATTTGTAAATCTATTTGAGCAAGCTGGAGGTTTAATTAGCTTTCCAACCAACCAAATTCCCTTCATTTGAGTCTTAACCATATTTAAGTGTTACTATGTCTTTAAAGGTGTGGATTCTAAAGCAGTGGATTTTGATGGAGTTGACAGTTTTTAAAAAACTCTTTGGATTTTAATTGTGATGCAGAAGTTATAGTAACAAACATTTGGCTTTGTACAGACATTGTTTCCACTCTAGTGGATAAGCTCAGTAAAGGTCAGGATTCTGCCTCTCCCCAGAAAATATGTATATTTTTTTTCTAGAGATTTTGAGAGCAAGAACTTGTTTTTTTAAGAACTATCTGCATCGGTCCTCTGATTTTATTCGCTACAACATATGGCAGCTGGTTGAAAGCTCAGCTTCTGTTGGTTACATAAGACTTGGCAGTGCTGGAGTTTGGCCTGAAATTGATTTCAATACGAAATTACCATCTAAATAAATTGAACTCTCTGCATGAAGAATCTCTCCAAGATGAAAGACAATTAATTCAATCAGAGATTCACTCAGTGGTATACTTTGCACCAAAGCAGTAGCCAAGTCTTGCATAAGCAAATAGTCTAAATTGACTGTTTTTAACCCTTTGTGCAAAATAAGGTGAGGGAAGATGAGAATATAAATTCATATTTATTTGGATCTGCATACAAAAAGCATGGGAGCATATATGAGACACTATTAAGATGAGTATCTGGAACGGAGGTGGGCAATGCAGTGAGAAGTAGATGGAGAGTCAACAGAGGTGGAAGGAGATTTTTATCACTTTCCTTTTAGTATCTTTTCAATGAATGTATTGCCTATTTGAAACACTAAAACTATAAAGAAACTACTAGCTTAAAGCCCTTCTTATGACAAAGCAAGCTTGTTTCAAAATTCTAAATCATGTGCCATAATACAAACTTGTTAATTCATATGCCAGCTCATTCACTTATTGACTATATGACCTTGAATCTCATCTATAATAAGGGGAAATGTTACATTCTACTGAGGATATGGTAAAGATTAAGTGAGATAATCCATATACAAAATTTTGTTCAATGCTCAGGACATGGTAAGTATACAATAAATGGTAGTTACTAGTATTATATAAAAAAGCTTGAGCCGGGTGTGGCTCAATGGTTGAGCATTGACCTAGGATCCACGCCATCAGGGTTTGATTCCCGGTCAGGGCACATGCCCAGGTTGTGGGTTGAATTCCCAGTCAGGGGCGTGCAGGAGGCAGCTGATCAATGACTCTCTCATCATTGATGTTTCTATCTCTCGCTCTCCCTCTTCCTTCCTCTCTCTGAAATCAATAAAAATGTATTTTAAAAAAATTAGGTCTTCAAAGACTGTTTAATAACAGGAAAATGTTTACGACATGGTATCAAATGAAAACAGAGGAACCAATTTTTTTATACTATTGATTCCAATTCTGTTAAAAAAAAAAATCAAACTATACACAGATGAGGTGGGGAAAGATGAGGTGGTGAGAACAGAAGCATTGAAGAAAATGATTTGGGGGTTATGGATAATTTATATTTTCTCTGTTATCTTTTTATAATCTTCAAATTCTCTAAAACTCTAACACAAAGTGCAGTATGAGATCAAGGAAGAGCTGGAAGAACCTTGTAGAAAAGGTGAGGTTGCTTAGGCATCTGGATTCTCAACACCTATTAGTTGGAGACCATGCAGAAAGGTGTGCCACGAGGTGTGAACAGCACAGGGAGGGGTGTGGGAGTGACTGAGCATGACCTGAACCCAGAGTGAAGGGAGATGGGGCTGGAAGAGCAGCCTGAGAGCCAGGCTCAGGGCTTGAGGAACTCTCCATTACCAGGTGGAGCTCCTGGGTACTAGTCCAAGTATTTCATTTAATTGCTACATCCCCTGGAAAACTTTACCTGGGCTTTGGAAACAGGAGCTGGAGAACCAGTATTTTCGTAATTTCAAATGATCCTCTCAATGAAAGAGCAGGAAGAAGACTCCTTAAGCTGACCAGGTCAGTTAAAAATTATGAAAGATCAATGGCACAGATGGAAAACAAACCCAGCTTCTTTGGTTTAAGGATAATAGAGAATAAATTACCTCTAGATCATAAACATCACAAAGGCAGAGATTAGAAATAGCTCCAAGTGTACAGGGCAGAAACAAAGAGAAGAATTAAATTGGGATGAACAAATGTCTCAGGAACAAGATCTTTTACAGATGTACAGTCTTGGTACAAAAGCCGAACTGCTCCTGTTTCGGGGACAGACGTCACTGAAGTCCCAAAAAAGCAACCTCCATGGGGTTCCTCACTAAGAAAGGCTCCCAGGGCCCAGACCTTTATTTTACAAGTGTTGCCTTCTCTAGTTTACAGGAACCTCTGGAGAAAAGTACTTATACATTTATTTTTTGTTTTTTATTGTGGTAAAATATAGATAACATAAAATTTACCATTTTAACCATTTTAAGTGTACAATTCAGTGGTATCAAGTATAATCACAGTATTGTACATTAACCATTACAACTATCCACCTGCAGAACTTATCATCATCCCAAATAGAAATTCTGTATCCATTACACACAAACCCCACATTCCTTCCTGGTGCCTAGCCCTGGATATCTCTATTCTAGTTTCTGCTTCTGAGTTGGCCCAGTCTAGGTACCTCATATAAGTAGAATCCTACGATATTTGTCATTTTACGTCTGGCTTATTTCACTTAGCATAACGTTTTCAAGTTATCCATATTATAGAATGTATCAGTACTTAATTCCTTTTTAAATTCCTTAAATAGGAATGTAATATCATTTCATTACATGGATAAGCCACATGTATTTATCTATTCATCAGTCAATGGGCATGTTTTTTTTCTACTTTTTGGCTACTGTGAATAATGCCACTTTGAAAATTCACATACAAGTTTTTGTTCGGATATATGTTTTCAGTTCTCTTGGGCAAATACCTAGGAGTGGAATTGCTGGGTCATTTCATAGCTTTTTTTTAGAACCTTTTAAGGAACTGCCAGACTTTTCCAAAGCAGCTACACCATTTTGCATTCCTACTAAGAGTATAGGAGGGGTGCAACTTCTCCACATCTTTCATTGTTTTTTGTTTGTTTTTTTAAAGAATAGTTTATTGTTTATAGAGAGAGGAAGGGAGAGGGAGAGAGAGAAACTACTATGTGAGAGCGCAACATGGATCGGCTGCCTCCTGCATGCCCCCTACTGGGGATCAAGCCCACAACCTGGGCATGTGCCCTGACTGGGAACCAAACCCATGACCTCCCTATGCGGGGGACAATGCCCAACTAACTGAGCAACACTGGCCAGGGCCATTCATTGTTACTTTTTAGAGAAACTTTTAATTGAAGTATAAGTCATACAGAAAAGTGCACAGATTGTAAGTGTCCCTGGAGCATGGCCAAGCCATTTCCACAGGGATATGGGCTATGACTGCTCCTGCAAGAGGCACCAAACGCTTGCTTCGCCATGAGTCAACGGAACCACAGCTGGAGGTGCCGTGGCCAGTGCCCAGAGCAGCAGCTCAGACTCTGAAAGCCTCTCTTGACAGCCCAAGCAACCTGAGGCTGTGGACTGTGTAGCATGGAGGCTGGCTTCACACTGGTGTGTGGAATCAGCCTTTGTGTAATCACACCACTGCACGCAGCCATAGCCTTGGTGATGGGCCGCATCACTGAACTGCAGTCTCTATTTCAATTTGACTCGCTTAAGAAAAATGGCATTTGTGTGTGGAGGTGCACAGAGCCTCTGCAGGGACACATGGGGCACACAACTCTGGCCTCTCCACGTCAGGCTACATGGGAGCCTCTGCCCCAAAGCACTCCTGCTGCTAGGGCTGTAAGGACAATGGCATTTAAACAGCTGGCATCTCAGCTTCTCAATGCAGAGGTGGGTCCTGGGTGAGCCTCTGAAGGGGTCACCACCTCCCAAGAGTAAGCGAGAGAGTAAAAGAAGAAAAGCTCCCTCCTGTTCAATTAGCTTCTTTTCAGGATCAGAGCCTGGCTGGCAGGCGGAAAATTCCACGCTCTAATGAAACAAAAGGGAGCCAGAAAGGAGGGCAGATAAAGGGCACAGGCCAACCTCCCTGCATTCTTCTCTCTGTGCACCGGAGGTATTCCTAACTCCCAGAAGCTCCGGTGAAATCTCAGGGTGCTTCTCTACGGTACAAGGAGGAACCAGGTCTATTTCGGTATCTCCCTCACCAGGGGACGCATACCATGGCTGTGGGAAGGGTGATTTTATTTGGTAAATGGACTGTGCATGAAAAGTCTCTGAAGCACATCATGAGAAAGCTACTCCCTTTTTAACTGCTGAGCTTCTGATTCCAAGGAGAAAGGCTCTGTTGGGGCTGCTACATCTTTCACGCCCGTCTTAGACTTCATACCAAAAAGGAGATACAGCCTTAAGTTGGTAGCAGTATCTAGGCTAGCATTTAAGAACATTGTTTAATGGCACTCTGCTTTTTACTTTCTTATATTAATTTACTATGTATGGCAAGTATGGCAAGTTTTCCACTTAAGGTAGTGATATTTCTATTACTCTTAAAATAAATTGATTTAAGCTACAAAAAGTGGCTTACTCTAAAGAAAATGTAAAGATAGAGACCGTGTGCAGACCAGGCAAGCGCCACAAAGGTGGTTCAAGAATGACAGGTTTGGAAACATCTTTTTCTTTCTGCCACTTTACTAATGAACACTTCTAAAACAAATCTGAAACCATTCTGTCCCACCATCTGCCTTCTCCAGGTCCTGCTCTTCCTAATGCATTTATCAGTGCACATGACCGCACCTGTCAGACCATCACTGGATCAGAATCCAAGGACCAAGAAACTACCAAAGGAATTCCCAGAAATGCGCACAACCTTGCTTAAAGAATTGGTGACTCTGGGAGTGGGGGTGGCTTCCCGGGAAAAGACGCTCTCAGGAACCTGAAAGAAGTTATCCGGTGGGAGGCTACCACCACTTCTTCGGGAACACTTCCAACATTCAAAAGAGGATGTCCTTCAGCTTTTCTGTATGTTTGAAATATTTCATGATAAAATGTTGAGCAACCAAAAGGACAAGTTATTATGACAGCCTTGAAAACTTCAATTATAAAGTTAAAACTTACCAATAATAGATTCTTATCAGTGCCGAAGGCCACAGGAGAAACGAGGCCACAAATGCCAGGATTGGGATGGCCAGCGTCCCGCCCGCGATCACAAACATGTTAACCACATCAAGATCCATCCTGCTCTTTGAGGCTGGCTGGCACCTGCAGGGGCTGAGAGAGCAACAGTCTTGAAACTCTGTCTCAAGAGCAGGGTAAAGAAGTAAAGGGGAAAAGAAACGTGAGGACCCAGAATGAGGGTCAAGATGAAGAGGAAACAAAAGCAGGCAAGTGCTTAAAAAAACTCAACAACCAATAAAGATATATTTAAACAAAGCAAAACAAAACACAAAAAAACTCAACAGGCATGACAATTACATGTAATGAAGGATCCCCAAGAGGATCCTGGGTTTTATTTTGAGCTATAAAGGAAATCGTTAGGACAACTGGGGAAGCCTGAGTAAGGACGGGGTACTAGATAATGTTACTGTATTGGTGACGCAATTCTGGAGTGTGATGATGAAGCCGCGGCTATTGTTGCACGTAGAAGAACGACCTTGTTCTTAGGCGATGTCTGCTGAAGTATTGAGGGGTGAAGGATAGTGATATCTACTCCTCACTTTTAAAATTGAGGAAAGAAAAATATAATGTGTGTGTTTGTGGGGGGAGACGAGAGGGAAATAAAGCAAATATGGTGAAATGTTAACCAGTGGTGAATCCAGGTGAAGGTTACATGGTAATCTTCAGCTTTTCTATAGGTTTAACAATTTCTATAGCAATTTTTAAAAATTAAAAGTTAGGGAGGACAGAGGACCTTAGAGAAAGGAATGAAAAAATATACATGTATACGTGAATGTATATACAGGTAGGTCCACACAGAACATCACTGGACGGATGTACATGAGACCAGTAACAGCAGCTGTATCTAAGTTGGGAAACTAGGTCATCGGGGTCAGAATAGAAGGGAGACTTGTTCTACACAGTGTACCTTTTAAAATCTTTTGGTCATTTATCATGTATATGTATAACCTATTCAAAAATCAATAATGTAAAATGAAGAGTTCAGAGGGAACAAAGCAAAACAGTAGAGTTTTCGGTGCACTTTCTGATGTCTTCCTGGAGACCTGACGAACACATCTGAAGACTAGAATGTGCTCCGGGAGGGCAAGGACTGTGTCCCCAGCACCCAGACTCAGGCCTGACCCATTGCTAGGCGCTCTAGAAATCATGGTTGAATCAGAAACCCTGCCCAGTCCCATCTCATAAACTTACAACATGGTTTGTTTTTTCATAAAAAGGTAAATATTTCAAGTCCCATCATCTTCCCCAACAGCAGCAACAACTGCAAGGACCTGTAAGCCAGCTGTAGCCTTTGCCCCTGGAGGAGTCCCAGCCGCCTGTGTTAAGTGCGCATTTCACCAAACATAAAGAGAGAGATTTCTTCAGGATAGAGTATTAACATCTTGCAAATCATGGCCTTCCTTATTCTGCCTGTAAAATGCAGAGATCTCTCCCATATGCCTCCATCAACTGACACGTATTTCAATTTTATAATGAACTCGTAATCGCACAGCATGACTTCACAGCCATGAGCGCAGGGGGCAGCAAACCTTTTCTGTAAAGGGCTAGTGGATAAATATTTTAGCATTGTGGGCCATAGGGTCTCTGTCACAACTACTGGATCTGCCGTTGTAGTGAGAAAGCAGAAATATATAACCTTTAATGAGCAGGTATGACTCTATTCCAATAAATCTTTATTTTTAAAAATCAGTTGCATGCTGAATTTGGTGTGTGGGCTATAATTTGCCAACCCTTGATGTAGCACACCAGCCCTGACAAACAGGTAAGGGAGATTATCCCCTATTTTATAGGCTGATGAAATTGAGCCTCAGGGGAGTTAAGTAACTTGCTCAAAGCTGCTCAACTGGTAGAGTTATGATTATGAAACAGATATCTGACTTGTATCTACTCCCTTTGCACCAAGTTCCACTTTGTTTCTTTTCTTTTTTTTTAATATAATTAAAATAAATGGGGTTTTTTAATCCTCACCTGAGGATATTTTTCCCCCACTGCTTATCAGAGAGAGTGGAAAGGGTGGGGGGAGAGGCACTGATGTGAGAGAGACACATTGATTGGTTGCCTCCCGCAACGGAGGTACGTGCCCTTGGCTGGCATCGAACCTGGGACCCTCCAGTCTGCAGGCCAACACTCTAACCACTGAGCCAAACCAGCTAGGGCTTAAATATAATTTTTAAAAATTTATTGATTTTAGAGAGAGGAAGGGGCGGGGAGAGGGAAAGAGAGAAGGAAGCATAGATTTGTTCTTCCACTTATTTATGCAATTCATTGATTGACTCTGGCATGTCCCCTAACCAGGGATAGAACCCGCAACCTTGATGTATCAGGATGAGACTTTAACCAACTGAACTGCCCAGCCAGGGCTAATTGCTTTCAAATGGCCTTTTCTCAATCTTTGTAACGTCTTTGCTGTTAAATACCCACACCTGTCACCCTAATGTCTCCATGAAGATGTGACAGTTCCAATTAGATGTATTGTCTCTTGCAAGAGGTTTGGGGAATCAAGCTCCTCGCAGTCTAGAAGACAGACGCATGTATATGTGGGTCAGATTGTTCTTTCAGCTTTACACACACACTTTATCTGGTTACAGTCCTGAGTCTAAAGCAATGAAAGCTGCCACCTTACCAGGGGCAGAAGCAGTGTCTGTGTTTCTGATTCAATGCCCTCTCAGTTTCTCAGTTGCAGTAAATACTTTTCCCAGCACACTTAAGTCATCAGCCCGTTTCTCCTTCTAGAACCGGAGCTCCGTGAAGGAAGGGACAATCATATATGCTCTTTCCCAGTGCCTAGAACAAGCACAGGATACAAATGAGATGCAAATGAATAAAAAGCAAAGTTATAAAATGGGCTCTATCTGTTTGTGTTAGGGGCAGCCGTTCCCAATGATACAGTAAGAGACATTTCTCCTATTTCAGTAATGACAGAGCTCCCCGGGGGAGCTACCTGTTTAACGCTAAGTACAGTTTACAGTTCTCCAAGGCCTCACCATCAAGGGGCAAGCAAATTATTTGCAGAGTGAAGGAAAGTTGATAAAATGTTTCAACATTGTGGGCCACAAAAGAGTTGATGAGCACAGTCTTCGCCTAGAGTAGCCATGGTTTCCTGCTACAGCAACGGCGCTTGGACGGAACCGGGCTCGACCCACACGCTGGCCAGCGCCCAGGTGCAGCCTTCCACACCTCCTCGCAGGGCCTCGGTGCCCCAAGGCACCCCACTGCGCCAGTGCCGCAAAGCTGCCTCTCCTCCCCTGCCCACCGTGATGACCAGGACTCCCCGGTGCACCAGGACTCCCACCAGGACTCGGAGGCCACCAGCAACAGCCAGATCAACCTGGAGCTCTAACTTCCTACATCTACCTGTCCGTGTCTTACTACTTGGACCACGATGATGTGGCTTTGAAGAACTTTGCCAAATATTTTCTTCACCAGTCTCACGAGAAGAGGGAACATGCTGAGAAACTGATGAAGTTGCAGAACCAACGAGGTGGCCGAATCTTCCTTCAGGATATCAAAGAACCAGACCTGACGACTGGGAGAATGGGCTGAATGCAATAGTGTGTCACACTTGGAAAAAGTGCGGATCAGTCACTATAGGACTTGCACAAACTGGCCACTGACAAGAATGACCCTTATCTGAGTGACTTCATTGAGACTCACTACCTGAATGAGCAGGTGAAATCCATCAAAGAACTGGGTGACCACATAACCCACTTGCACAGGCTGGGGACCCCTGAAAGTAGCCTGGCAGAGTATCTCTTGACAAGCACACCCTGGGAGACAGTGATGAGAGCTAGGCCTTAGGCTGGCTTCCCATAGCCACGGGGGTGTCTTCCCCGGTCACCAGAGCAGTACATGCGTGTTGGAGTTACCTTTACGTTTTCTCTAACTTGTACCAAATCATCCACTTACGTCTTTCATCTGTACCATTCCTTCAAATAAAGTAATTTGGTACCCGCCCCCCGCAAAGAGTTGATGAAGATGGGAAGCATCAGCTTCAAGAGGACTTTTCCACACACCAGCAACGAGGCCTTGGTTTCCTCATCTACTAAATGAGAACTTTCACCCCATCACTGCTTCTGTCTCTTCCTACTCTGGTGACCGGGAATCCTGAGTTCCAATCTTAGGATATAAAGCAAAAATTCCAAGAATAAATAGAATATAAAGACTTCCAAAGAATCTTGCCTTTCCCTAGACATCTACCCATATTTCATCAAATTTGACAAACTAATGTCCTGGTCTCTTCAAAATAATGATTATTATAACAATGGCAACAACAATAACCATGACCACTACCCCCATAGCCAAAGATATAAGAGCAATGACCTCCATCTATTAACTACTGTGTGCCAGAGCCAGTGGGTTCGATTCTCGGTCAGGGCACATACCTAGGTGTGGGTACGTTCCCCAGTCCAGGTGTGTGCAGGAGGCAACCAATCAATGTTTGTTTCTCTCTCCTCTCTCTCTCTCTCCCTAAAAAAAGTCAATAAAGACATCCCCTCGGGTGAGGACCTAAATAAATAGAAATGAGTTGTTGTAGAAGTTGGACCGGCTTGAACAAGCAAAAGTGAATTCAGTTTCTGCTTCACATTTAAGTCAATATCTTGGGTTTATTTGGAAACTCAGGGAGTTAATCTAAGGAACATCCAGTAAAGCAGGAATTGTAAAGAACCAGAATACACACGAACAGAGTGAAGTTAATAACTGACAAGAAAAAGGCTGCCGAGCTGGACAGAGGCACAGCTTCAAGATTTGTAAAAATGTCCTCTGGGAACCAAAACCTAAAACTGCATCCAAAGTTGCCAACAAAGGAAAAAGTGAAAAATAACCTTTTGGTTTTGATGTATACATGTCCAAAAAACACATGGTTCTAATAGTTTTTCACAAAATAGACGATGATTATGTGGCAATGCGTGGTTGAAATGTATTCCTTACTGAATTCATAAATAAAATTTACATTTAAATTTGTCATGCTAAATACATTTTCCCCAGACAGATTAAGTTATCTTTATTGACTTTCCTATAGAACACTGTGATGTTTTTAACGTTGTGGTATATTTTATATTTATAGATCACCATCGCTCTTGACAGGGCTCATTTCCTCACATAGGTCAATCTTTCAAGGACCATTTTATCAGCAACTATAAAGTTTAAGTTAAATGTTCTTTGTAAACATTGGTCTATTTTAAGTAAATATTGACTTTATGGAGTATGCTTTCTGAAGGCCTGAGCTATAAATACATCTGTTTTCACTATATACAAGAAAAAGCGAAATGACTTAAATGCCCACTTTGTTTTCTGTGTAGCTCCTTCATCACGTTTCCATGACTTGGGGAAATGCTTCTTTTGATATTTGAAGTCTGAATTTAAGACTTTAAGGTTACACTTTAATTTTTGGAACTTTGCCTCTATGTCCCAGTTAAAGTAAAATACATTCTCATTAACTGTGGATGAGAAAGGAGGTTGTATATTGATGGCTGAATTTTGGCATAATGGCTGTATCCTATCAATAAAGACTGTAAATGTGTAAAAAAACAACAACACTGCACTGTTTAATGTGTGACTATTTAAATATAAGTTAATTAAATACAACTCAAAGTTCAGTTCTCAGTCACACCCATCACACTGTATGTGCCTGACAGCCATATATGAACAAAAGCTGCCCTACTGGCCAGCAGTCTTAGGGCTTTCCACCCTGAAAGCCTCTTACAACCAATTCCTTATGCCACTTTGGTTCAATATTTACTAGGAATGTTGAGTGGGACAAAAATTCCTACCAGGTGTAAGACTTTGTATGAGTCAGACCGCACATGGCTCCCTCAGCCACCACATGAGGTCCAGGTCCTCACTTTTTGCTCCTATTTCTGTAAAGGTTGCTGTTCCACTGCCCAGTACCACCAGAGGCACCTCCACAATTCCCTCCGGGGTTAGGCTGCGTTGGTGAACTCTGACCACGCCATGTGATCCCAACTCTACTTCCTATTCTGAACTCTCACGTCTCCGCCTGAACCCCAGATAACCAACCCCTACCCTTGGAAGCCCCGGACAGCCCCACGTTTCGGCTTTCCTTGGGTCCCCTTCATGTGCAGCACACTTGAGTTCTGGCTGCCTGATGAACTCCTCCCTGCCTTCGAGGCTGATTCAAGTGTCACACTCCCCAGGGAGGCATCCCGGGCTCCACAGACCCAGGGCTTCTAGCTTCCCTTCAAAGTCAGAGCCCTGCTCCTGGCAGAGTCTTTGAGAACTGCTTGTAAGAGGCTTTGGGGTGCATATCTGAGCTTTGAAAACCTCAGGTGCCCAGCCCTCTTCCACCAGTCCTACTGAAATCACCCAGAAGGTGGTTTTGAGGGAGCTTACAGAGGAGCCCCAGACTCCTTAAAAACTGCTTTTTTGGGGTAACCTATGGTTTTAAAAATCCATACTCACTGTTCAAGGAGTACAGCCTTCTTTTCCAACTGCTGCTGGCTCTGGCAGAAGATGAAAATGAGATTCTGAAATCAGGGAAAAGGAAGTGACAAAGCATTAAATCATTAGGAGATATGAATTAAGTGTTAGCCAGCAAATTGCTTGCTTTGCTGGAGGTGCAGCTCTCCTCCAGGGCCTGGGCCAAGTATAAATACCCTGTGGTGTTATAGCTGCCTCTCTGTCCAAGTCACCTCCCCCAGTTAAGCAACCTGCACAAAGGGCAGGGCATGTCAGGTAACGGGAGGGCAAGTAGGTCAAAGAAGATATCTGCGGTGAGGATGAAGCACAGGAGTGGATGATCCCTCGGCTGTCTGTCTGGGTGAAGAAGGCAATGTTGGAGAGCAGCAATGCTGGGGAGGGGGGATTCTGGCGGCTACAGAGACCCTCCAATAAAGACTAAAACTCTCCTTCTTCATCTGGAATTAGGGTTTACTTAAAAGTTGTACTCAGAAAGAAATGACAGGAAGGTGGCAACAACGTGCAAATGAGAATATTTCTACTAGAGTAACTAGGGAGAGGGGACCATAGCTTCAATATAGGGCTAGGCAGAGCAGAGATGCTGGGAAGGGCACCGCAGCAGAACAGAAACACGGGCAAGGGAGGGCACATCCCACAAACCACGAATTATTTCAGGATGTGGTAGGCAGTTAGACATGAGCAGAGTAAGGACAATGGGCCAGATACACAAGGTCACCATGGTGGAACACTGAGTACCTGCCAATGGACATTTGTAGGGTGGGACTTCATCCCTAGGTGACCTCTCCTGCCTAACATATCACCGGTCATGGACCTCTTGACATTTCGTCCCTAGAGATAACATCCAGGCCTCAGTTGTATTTCAGCTCCAGGCCCAGAAAAGCAGCGAAACCAGACAAGCAACACCATGGATGACCTCAGGATCAGCTCCATTGAATATTGACGCCCTGCCCCTTGCTCTGATCAATCAGTAGAGACCATGACCCTGAAAGGACAAATCTGGAAAGTTGATGAATATTCTATTAAGATTCTACCCTGGCACCGCTCTTAAGATCTCCACCCTTAAACTGTTTTAGGGACCACACCTTTTGGGAGCACACCTGAACCTACCCTCCCACCCCCTTACCATTACCTTCCTCACTCCCAAGCTCTAAGGGCCCCTCTTTTGCCTCTGTAACTTGTTTCCTGACCCCCCTTTCTTCTACCACTTTCTTCTTCCACCTCTGTAATTTTCTAAATAAATGTTCTCTTATAGTTTGAGCCTTGGCTCCAAATTCTTTCCTAGCCAGAACTCAAGGACTGAGGTAGCTGAGCCAATGCCTGGTCTGACCCCACTGGTCCAACAGCTGGTGCCATTCCCGCTGCCATCAAGAGAATCAATGAGTTAAACATAAAAAACAAAACACAAAAAAACTATGAAAGTTCTAGAAGAAAACATGAGAACTCTTTTAAAATATCTTCATGGGCAAAGCCTTTCTAAGTAAAATATTAAACCAGAGGCCGTAACAAAAAGATTAATAGTGGACAGCCAAAAAATATTTTTTAATTGATTATTTTTTAGAGAGAAGGAGGATGGGAGAGAGAAACACTGATTTGTTGTTCCACTTATTTATGCATTCATTGGTTGATTCTTTTTGAAAAATATTTTTTTAATTGATTTTTAGAGAGAGAGGGAGAGGGAAATAGAAATATCCATGAGAGAGAATCATCAATCTGCCGCCTCCTACACGACCTCTACTGGGGACTGAGCCCGCAGCCCTGCCATGAGCCCTGACCAGGAATCGAAGTGGAGACCTCTCAGCGCATACGACGATGCTCAGCAGACACACACTGGCCCAGGTGATTCTTTTTTTTTTTAATATTTATTAATTTTTAGAGAGAGAGGATTGGTTGTTTACTGCACACCTCCTACCAGGAATCAAGCCCACAACAAGGGCATGTGCCCTGAACAGGAATCTAACGGGCAACCTTTCCGTGCACAGGACGACGCCCAACCAACTGAGCCACACTGACCAGGGCCATTGGTTAATTCTTGTATGTGCCCTGACAGGGGATCAGACCTGCAACCTTGGCATATCAGGACGATGCTCTAACCAACTGAGCTATCCGGCCAGGGCATAAAAATGTTATTTATTTATTTATCCTCACCCAAGGATATGTTTATTGACATCAGAGAGAGAGAGGAGGGAAGAAGGGAGGGAGGGAGAGAGACATCCATGTGAGAGGGAAACATTGATCAGCTGCCTCTAGTATGCGCTCCAACCAGGGATCGAACCCACAACCTGAGTATGTTCCCTGACCAAGGATGGAACCCACAACCTTTTGGTGTCCGGAACAATCCTCCAACTAACTGAGCCACCTGGCAGGGCATAAAAATGTTTTTAAATGTTCACTAATTTCCTTAAGGTACAAAGAGTTCCTACAAATCAATATAAACATCAATAAAATCCAGTAGAAAAATGGGCACATGATCTGAATAACTTACTAGGAAGTAAATAGAAATGACTCTTAAAAATATAAAAAGATGCTCAATCGCATTTATAACAAGATATGCAAATTAAATCTATAAAGTAATGGCAATGTTTATCATACTGGCAAAGAACAAAAAGTTTAATAACAGATGTATTGCTGAGGCTGTGGGGAAGTAGAGGCTCTCATACAATGTACCAATTTACATTCCCACCGACAAACTCTATAGGTAGCAACTTGGCAAAATCTGCAGCAGTTTTATGTGCCCATACACCTGACCTAACAGCATCACTTCTAGGAATTTATGTTTATAACTAGCTAAACGTGTGAAATATTTTGCCAGATTATTTGTTTCAGTATCATTTATTATGGCAAAGGACTGGAAATACTCATATGCCCACTTACAGGAAACCTGTTAAGCAAATGATGGTATAACTTTATAAAGAAGTATAATGAATAGCCATTAAATACAAATAAAAGTAAATGCAAGCCATTAATATAATGAAGCAGTTATATTTGTCTCTATGGGTAATAACCTCCCAGGTACATTGTTAACTCAAAAAAGCAAGGAACAGAAGAGAGTAGATGGAATGAAACCTCTTGCATTGAGCAAGAGAGAAAAAGAAATATATACATTATGCTTATATGTGTATGAAATGTTTCTGGATAGATATATGAGAAACTGGTAATCATGGCTGGCACTGGCCAGGGAAACTGAGAGGCAAAGGACAGAGATAAGGGGGACTTTCACTGATAACCTTTTGTACCTTTTGAATTGCTACCATGTGCATGTATAAGGCTTTCCCTATTTAATTAAAAAATAAACTGCTCAAACAAAATGGTCTATCCTACCTTGTTCAGTACAGTAGCCACTAAGCCAGATGTGGCAGTTTAAATTTAAATTGATTAAAATTAAATAAAATTTAAAATTCAGTTCTTCAGCTGCACTAGACACATTCCACGTGCTCAATAGCCACATGTAGCTAGTGGCTGCCACATTGGACAGGGGCAACACAGAACACTGTTATTATCACAAAAAGCCCTACTGGCCAGCTACAAAAGCCCCTTAGAGAGAGCAGCCAAATCTTCATCGTTTCTCATGTTAAGACATACAAATTGAATGCTGAAATCCCTTTCTACGCAGGCTAGATGGCCTGGCTGCCTACTAAGATAACAAAGACTGGGGCTCCTGCCCAGCTGGGCGTGGCTCAGGGGTTGAACATCGACCTAGGATCCAAGAGATCGAGGTTTGATTCCCGGTCAGGGCACATGCCCCGGTTGCGGGCTCAATCCCCAGTTGGGAGTGTTCAGGAGGCAGCCAATCAATGACGATTCTCTCATCATTGATGTTTCTATCTCTCTCTCTCTCTCCCCCTTCCTCTCTCTGAAATCAATAAAGATATATCAAAAAAAAAAAAAAAAGACTGGGGCTCCTGCCCTGTGTGACTGTCCTAAGGTGGTCAGATTGTCAGGAACTTTTGCCTTTAAGGGTTGAAATCCAGCACTCTAACATAGAAGATAAAAATTACCATGCAGGAACCACACATGGTCCATAAACCCGAAATTGTATCTCCTTTGTGGTTATGGGAGAGGTGCTAATAGGAGGATTTGCTCTGGCATGCTTTGTTCCAAAGCTCTAGCAACTGGTTCCCCATGGGGGTTCTTGCTCAAGAGCAGCCAACCCACAGCCCCTTCCCCTGCTTCTGCCACCTGGGGCAGCCGTGTGGGCAAGGAAACAGCCCAGCCAGGCAGGTCCAGTGGTCAAACAATCAGAGACCTAGAAAATTCTTCCACTCAATCCTCTGGAAAGTGTCAATATAAGAAACATTCAAACCTGCAGAGAATTTGTATGAGTTTATTTGAGCCAAATTGACAATTTCTAGGAAGCAAAATCTCAATGGAATGAGAAAATGCTCCAGAAAATGGCAGTTTCACCACTTATTTTATACATAAGAATCAAAGGGGAATATTGTAAGGGGTTACATGAAATCCACTGGTGGCAGATTAGAGAGGTGGGAGAAAGCAAAGCAGGGAAATCTCTGGGGTTGGATAAAAAGTAAAATGATAGATACATACATCTTTTACATATGTGGGTATGGGATAGTTAACAATTAACATGATAATAACCATGAGGGAATTTGTGGTCTCTGCTCTGGTGCTGGTTGAGGGGTCCAGAAAAAATGAAAGTTGATGTTGCAAAGGTATGTTATCTTAGATGCAAACAGACAACAGACAGCCTCAGTTAAGGTGAAGACTCACCTTTGTTAGGGAAAAATACTGCCCTAGGACATGACCACTCACCATGAGCTGCTTTCAGATAGGAAGTTTTACTTTTGGACCATCCTATGTGGTTACTTTAGGTCTCTGAGTTTGTAAGACTGCGGTGCAGGACTTCCCTTCCCTTGTCTGGTTTAGTTTGTGCTCCCTCTTTTTTTTCCTGTTAGCCACAAAAAGCAGGCAGATCAATCAGTGGCTCAGCTGGAAGGCAGGTGGCTCACTATCTTGCGGTATATCTTCTAAAAAAATCATCCTGGCCAAGAAGAAAGGCAATGTAACATGCAACCCCTGCCCTAACCTAGCC